AGATATCTATATTTATTAATCCAAATAAAGTAACCAATTAATATATATGGTAGTTTTTTATTGTATTGTATTATTTTCTTTTTTGATATGTATTTAAATTCAAAAATAAGTAACCAATAACTAATTATAAACTAAATAACTAACTAGTAACCAATTATGCCATGTGGCATTTTTTTAGGCTGCCACTTGGCTTAAGGAGAGGGCTTTTTCCTCTCCTTTTAATAATATATAGATATAGATGTGCCCAAAAACGTGGGACTCCATAATGTTAATAACTGAATTGGGTAATTATTTAAAATTTGTAGTTTTTTTCTATTTTAAATTTTTTTGAATCTCCAAAAGTATTGGAGTTTTGTCCTAAAAACAGGACACGTGTTGATATTTCGTTTTGACACTTGGCATAATGTCATAGATTTGCTTCTCCTTTTATATATTAGTAGATGTTTTATTCTCTTTTTTTTTCCTTTATTAATCTATTTTTTTTCTAATGACCAATGCACACTTAATTCAATTATGGGGTAGTACATATAAATTTCAAACAAATAAAGAAAATTATTGTATTTTGATATATATCTTGTGTTCACAATATATCTTCTGTTTTACAGCTAAAATGAAAAGCTAAAGCATCGCATCCCAGTTGGGTCAACCACACGGGAAAGCCCATTTTAAGATTACAAGCCCAATATGGGACTGCGTCTGTTAAGTCCATGAACTTGCCACTTTTCCAGTATAGCGAGAGACCCTATTTGGGTAAAAATGGCGTGGGGTAGCCACTATTTGAGGTGGTATTTATTTTTTATCCAACAATTCTAATGTTGAGCGAAATAGCCAGTACTCTACTAAAATTAATATGAAAAGACATTTTTACCATTTCTTCCATTGCTTTTCTTCCCAAACCCTCGCTTCTCTCTCTCAGTTCGATGCATACCTGTGTTCATAGATAAGCCTAGTAACTTTGAAAATCACCTGCCTACTTGGTTGTTGGTTCGATTCGACTTTTGAGTACTTATGCTACTGAAAAGCATTTCAAATCTAACTTACTCTCTGAAGCAAAGAACACTAGTAGTAATAAATAACCAGTACTTGCATTCAAATTTGATTTCTTGCTGTTTTGGGCTAAATTGTTTATGATTAGAGACATTTCTGTTACGTAATAGTTGGTTGTAGTGGAACAAGTAAATGAGTGGCCAATAGAGAAACTTATACCATTGGAATTTGGAGGTACAAATTCAGATTAAGGAGTTAGATGTGTAAAGGGCAATTGGTCCTGAACTTAGAGTTTCAAGTTCAAAAGTTAAGGACACTTGGTCTTGAACTTAGAATTACAAGTTCAAAAGTTAAGGAGACTTGGTCCTGAACTTAGACTAACAAGCTCAAAAGTTAAGGACAATAAGTCCTGAACTTAGACTTACAAGTTCAAAAGTTAAGGACAAGTAGTCCTTAACTTAGAGTTACAAGCACGGAACTTAAGGACAGGTGGTCCTGAACTTCGAGTTCCAAGTTCAAAAGTTAAGGACATGTAGTCCTGAAGTCCTGAACTTAGAGTTGCAAGTTCAAAAGTTAAGGACACTTGGTCCTGAACTTTTATGAGCAGAAGGGTGTTTTCGTCCTGGCAGGTAAAGTTTATTAAAGCAGTGGCTAAAGACTAAAGACATTTTAAACAGTGGCTTAAAAGTAAATACATGTGTCATTAGTGGCTAACCGTGCACTTCTCCCCCCCCCCCCACTCCCCCCCTACCCCCCCCCCCCCCCTATTTGGGCGATGTGCACTATTAGCCACTTTAAAGTCTGTTGATTAAATTATATTCATAATTTAAAATATATTTAAAGGTTAGCTAATTCACCCAAACTTCAGGACTAAGTATCCTAGATTTTTGAGCTACTAATTTGAAATATTGGACTTAGTATCCTAAATTCTTGAGCTGTTAATTTAAAATTTATGACTAAGTGTCCTAAATTTTTGAACTGCCAATTTAAAATTCAAGACATAAGATTCAATTTTTTGGACATAATTTTTGAACTTTAGGACACGGTGTCCTGAAGTTTGAACTTTAAGGTTTAAACTTCAAGACACCGTATCCTAAAGTTTGAAAGTATTGGCTAATCTTTAAATATATTTTAATATGTGAATATATTTTTAACAACATAATAAAAAATGGCTACTAGTGTCATTTCCAACCCCATTTTGTAAGGGACTTTTGCATCTATACCTGATTTTAGGGTCACAATTGAACCGATACCCACTTTGTAAAAAATTTTACAAGCCTACCCACTTTACGATCAACTTCAGACTTATCGTGTCTGAAGTTTAAAAAAATTAGTCTGAAGTGAAACAATTGCACTTTAGATGCACTTAAGACCAAATAGGCCTGAAGTGCAACCAATGGTTTCATGCACTTAAGGCCAATAAGTCTGAAGTGAAAAATTGCACATGCACTTAAGGCCTAAATGTCTAAGTGCAACAAACGTTTTCCTACACTAAGGCCAATAAGTCTGTAGTGAAAAATTACACGTAAGATGCACTTAAGGCGAATAAGTGTGAAGTGTAACCAATGGTTTCATGCACTTAAGACTAATAAGTCCGAAGTGAAAAATTGCACTTCAGATGCACTTAAGGCCAAAAGATTTGAAGTGCAACAAACGTTTTTCTACAATTAAGGCCATTGCACTTCAGTTGCACTTAAGGCCAAAAGGTCTGAAGTGCAACCAACATTTTCATGCACTTAAGGCAAATTAGTCTGAAGTGTAACCAATGGTTTCATGCACTTAAGGCCAATAAGTCTAAAGTGAAAATTGCACTTCAGATGCACTTAAGGCCAAAAGGTGTGAAGTGCAACCAACGTTTCATGCACTTAAGGCCAAATAGACCTGAAGTGCAAATTGTCCAGAAACAGAAATTTGTCCTTTGAATTTGAACAATCCAGTATACGATTTAATACCTAAATCTACTCCAGATTAGCTCAAATTTGAAACATAACCTCCAAATATCATCAAGAACAAACCTCAACCATCAATTTGTCAAAACAACAAAAAATCTAACGAACCCATTTTACAAGTAAGAAAAAGAAGAGGAAGAAACCCTAAGCAATAGTAAAAAATAAAGTGTCACAACAGATCATCACTCTAAAATATCATAAACTACCTTAAAATATGTTCACAAACAATAGATAAAATCACTGTAACCAAAGAAGAAGAAAAATGAAGTTGCTAAAAAGTGGGTACATGTTAAATGGGGGCGACCAAATAGTGTGTCGGTGCAATTTGTACATTTTGTAATAATAAAATGTACGTAATATCGGATAATCTATTATAATATTATTTTTCAGCCACACACGCTAAAAAAAAAAAGGAAAAAGAAAAACTTGCCACGAAAGTGTTGAAAATGGTGGTATGTTAAAACTTCCAACGAAGAACTTACATCAGATTCGAAGGATTTCAGGATCAATGCAGTGGATTTAATTTCTTGATACTACAATTATTAGCTGATTCCAAGTAAAAACTCAGTACCAATTTTACTCGAATTTGCAGAAACAACCATGACCGGAAAGTTGAAGTGTGTGATCGTGTCCGTTGACGGAAGTGAAGAGAGTATGAACGCCTTGAATTGGGCTCTTGACAACATCAAGATCAAGCCCCATGATCCCGATTCTGGAGAACCACAAGGTTCCTTTGTTATTCTCCACGTTCAATCCCCACCGTCCATTGCTGCTGGTCTTAATCCTGCAGCTATCCCTTTTGGCGGTTCCAGTTAAGTCAATCTCTTATTATCTTTGTGTTTTAATTCATTTTTCTTTGGATTAAGGCGTAGGTGATTTGATTGATTAGTGTTCACATTTCTTGTTAATTAGTAGTACTAAGTTATGGAGATTAACAGGTGATATCGAGGTGCCTGCGTTTAATGCTGCGATTGAGGCACACCAAAAGCGGATCACTCAGGCCATTTTGAACCATGCTACTGAGATTTGTGCTAGTAAAAATGTGAGCTTTTTACTCATTTTTTATCTATGAAAGTTATCTTGCCGTTACACAGCTTACATGGTTGAACAGGTAGTTTGATAGAAGAAATATCTCATCGAAGTTTAAAATTGAATACTTCAATGAACATGAAACTATATTATAAATTATGAATTTATATAGATTCTATAGAAATGTGCTGGTATCAGAATTTTGGTGACGTTTCAAAATAAAAAGTTGCAATTTAAATTGTAACAGAAGGGATTCGTAATTGGAATTGGTTGGTGCTTCTGATCTACTTCATGTTTTCTTTTTGTTTCCTGCATTAGCAATTTGAGTCCACCATCACATCCTTTTTGCTGCACTTACATTGACGTTTTGCTTGATACGTCTTACATTTGTATCATTTGATGTGATTTGTTGGGCATTCAGTCACTAGAAATGCTAAAAATATTAGAAAAGCAGAAGCCTAATATGGTCGTGATTGGTGTTCTATGCTTCTATGTTTATTGATGGGGAAAGGTTCTTTCTGAATCAGGCAAATGTTAAGACCCAAGTACTTATTGGGGATCCAAAGGAGAAAATTTGTGATGCTGTTGAAGAAATGCATGCTGATCTGCTAGTGATGGGTTCCCGTGCTTTTGGTCCCATTAAAAGGTATAAATTCTCAACCTAGAGGATGTTGTTATTGTTGATTTATTCTGACTGGATAACCCTCTTTACCAAAAGCATGTGTAGATGGTTTTCCATTCAACATGGTGAGCATGAGCTTTAGTGGTCCGCTGTAAATGAGTAGTTTTTAACATTTACAGTCTTGTCGAAAAGTTATTTTGGAATCTCAGTAAGTGGACGTAGTTTAGGATCTCTCCCACTTTAGTCAACAAAGCCATATGTAAATATTTTGGATAACTTATGTCCTGATTCTTCTATGAGAATGCTTTCACAATTCAACTAGCTCGTTGGTCCTAAAACTTTAAGGCATACACGTTACTCCCTTTGTCCCAATTCAGGATTTGCAGTCCGATACATTTCCATTATGTTACCTAGCCAAACCCGCCACCTCATGTGCCAAAGTCAAACGGTTGTTCTTCCTTCTCCGCTCCTTCTTTTTCTACATATGCGGCGGCGGCAGAGAAGAGGGGACAACTTCTTTCTCCTTTGCCTTGCTCAATCTTCCTTTTCTGATTGAAAGTAGCAAGCCACTCTACTATTGGTACAGAGGCCAGATAGAAGGTTGCTCATCCAGCCCAGCGGATCCATTGTTTATGCGGCAGTGCAATGCAGCTGAAAAAGGGAAGCCCCTTTTTATTAGTAAGGTATAGGTTGGTTGGGGAAAACTCCAAAACTAGGGTTCCAAAAAGCTTACCTTATATTATAGAAAAGTTTGAGAAAGGGGCACCCCTACTATACCCCTAAACTACAAGCTAGCGCGCAACGGCTGAAAAGCCGTTGTTGCTTGCTGCTTGCAGGCTCGAAAATCTCTCTTTCGCCTCTCCTCCCTGTCTCAATTCTGATTGATTAGCTTCTTCCTTCGCGCAAGCTACGGTCTAACGACCNTACTTCACAACCACTTAATGGGTCTGAATAGGTCTGTATGATCAAGATCTATAACAGAGACTTAATTTCATTAAGATGCTATCACATGTTCATTATTAACTGCCACTACCGCCTACCATTATCAACTACCATCATGCCACCACCACCATGCTCCACCACCACCACCTCCACCACCACTACGCCACCATCATCCTCAATCATAGCCGCCACCATTATCGACCATCACCACCTACTATCCCCACCACTCCGACCACCATTATTCTCACTCACAATCAACACTCATCCACCTTATCTACCACAACTAACCAACCCATCACTATCAACAGCCACAGCCGGCACTGCCCATCATTATAACCTACCACCACCAATCCACCACCTTCCTCGGTCACAACTACTACCACCACCCGCCATTATTAACTATAACCACCCACCACCACCATCCTCAATCATAATCGCCACCACTACCAATCACTACTATCTACTAGCATGAACCACCATCATCAACCAAAACTACCACCAACCATCGCCTCTAGTTGGCATTTACTCGTTAGCCATCACCACCAACAACTATCTTTTTTGAAAAAAAATATATATTTTAATGATAGAATATTAGATTAGTTAGTATTTCATTTGAATTTTATGTTTATTAACTTTCAAATAAAGATAAATTTTATACATTCAGATGTTAAAAATCAAACAGTCTTAATTATTTCTATTCGGATCTTAATACACATCTTAATATATTCAGATGTATATTCAGATTCAGATGTCTTAATCTTAATACACATCTTGATATTCAGATGTGTATTCAGAGACGTCTTAATCTTAAAAAAAACAAATGAGGAGTGTGAGATTCGGAGAATCTCTAATTTTGTAGAACCTCACAGGGGATTCATACAGCGTCCCCAACTAGTTTGAGATTGAAGTATAGCTAATTAATCTATTGACCGATGAAGAATTACCAACAACTCAAAGTAGTGCAATAGACACTGGATGTAGAAAAATGGCAATTCGATATACGTTTGTACAGCTAAAGTAATAGTAGATAGAGCTGAAACCCTTATTTTACGTTGTCTCGTAATTTTTACGTGATTTCGTTAGTTGAGCAATGAATTTACTTTAGTGATGGAAATTTATGAAGAAAGCACAAAGTAAGTGCATTCCTTCTTACCTTGCTCATCTACCTAAGTTTTCCTTTGTATCTTTTTTTCAAATTGGCTATGGTCCTAAAGAGTCTTCTATGCAATCTAGAATTTGCACCCAGGGGCATATCTAAGAATTTTTGTAAGCGATGTCGAAATTTATAGAGGAATGAAAATAAATATCTATAATTATCATATTTTTATACAAGAAATGCCTTAATCCATAGGTTTTATTGAATCCTAAGTTAGAAAAGGTCCTGAGTTCAATTCTACTTCTTTGAGGTTCGAATCTGTGAACTCTTAGAGCAAATCAGGCACACAACCAACGTGCCAGGAGATGATGTGTGTGAAGTGGTGTCATTTTTTTCTACTTATTCAATTCCTCACAGTATTAATACATATATTCAGTAAGATTTTTCGACGAAGCGGTGTCACGTGATACCGCTTCGTTGAACGTGCGTCCGCCCCTGTTTGCGCCTCCCTCTTGTCCAGGCATACAGCAGTATATGCGTTATTATCAACTATGTCATCTGGAGGCAATCGCTTTAAGTTGCAGTTTTTTTATTTAAAACCGATGGCTAGTTACTTTATTAGGTACTTTTTGTATACGGTAATTGAATTAGTCTCTTAAACTTCATAAAAAAATTAGGCATCTTAACTGGAGTATTGCTGATAAAAATGAGCCTTAATTTTCTGTGCTATTTTCAGGCATGTCATTTACTGGGGATAACATGTAAGGTAACCTGGGTATAGGAAAGCTCTTTAATTAGCCTAGCCCCAAGGCTTACAATTCACTTCATAGACAAGTATATTCTGGCAACAAGTAAATGACTCAAAGATTAGTAGGTGCAGTTGTGAAGTGAAGCAAGTGATTTTCTGGTCAACCTGCTACACAAAAGGGCTCTTTACCCCTGGCTTCAAAATCATTTATACTTGTTTCTGATATTGTACCTTTTACCATAACCTAACATATGTAATTGATGGATGTGGATCTTTATCTTGGTTAAAAAAATCCTGTTGTTTATTGCCAATCTGAATTCTAGAAGTAGTTTCACTCGATTATATGGTTATTGGATCATACATGATCACTTCTTCTACACAGACATGTATTTGACTAATTTTAAATCTAAACAGGATGTTTCTGGGGAGTGTAAGCAACTATTGCTCAAACCATGCACAATGCCCTGTAATTATTGTTAAGGGTACTTCTTGATGCGGTTCTAGGTATGTTTACTATTGCTTCTTGTATAGCATTTCCCCTTTCTTCCCCTTTAACACTATGTGAAATAATACTGTCAGCACTGCTTAATATTATGTTACATCTGAGAATTTCAAGAATTGGGAGACTTTCCTTATTTCATGATGTTCAAATTCTTATATAAGGAGACCTCTTTTATGTTTAATTAAACAATTTCAAGAGTTAACTTTTCGTTCCTGTCTCTTTTCACATATTGCTAGAATCTAGTCAACATGTGCAACTTTCCAACAATCATCTCTTTCTCTTTTCTCTTTTTCATTTTCACATGGTAGTAGAGTATACTATCTTGATAAACATTTTTTTCTTTGTTTTCATAAATTTACTATACTTATCTTTTTCTGGTAACTGTTGTCTAGGCACCACTCTTATAGTCGTCGGTGACTGATCCAGTGGTACAATGCCCCTTTTAAGCGATCATTTCGATGATACTGTCACTTCAGATTGCTGGGGACTTCTCCACCAAAATATTCCAGAATACCTTTTGATCTCTTCTTTTTCTTCGTAGTATCCGAGTTAGGATATTAAGTCCCACCTTGCATGTTGAATTCCTATTCATTGTTCTTGATAAGTCCTAGTTTTTTTCTTCCTTCTAGTATTAGAGTTTGGCTATGGAGTAACGTATATAGAAAAATTTAGAGTTTGGCTATGGAGTATTCTTCACATTGTATTTCTGATTACTATCCGAAAAAGTCTTGGTCTTTCTTTGTTCATGGTAGTGGATTTTGGGTGAGTCCCTATGAACAATAAATTTTTGGTCATTCACTTTCTCGGTTACCTAAGAGGCGTCAATTCGCATTGATGATATCTTGAAATTTGCATTACTAACATCTTTCCGGTGATTAATAATATATTTCTTTTCGATGCTACAAGAGGCACTTTCTGTTGCGAAATTACTTATCAACTTGGGAGGAGAAAGAATTTCATCACGACTTCTGCTCTTACTTGGTGATCGATCACTATTCCGCGGTACTATTTAGGAGACTGTCTACCTCGGTATTTCCTAGTGTTTTTCCAAAATAAACAAACTTAAGTTGCTTCATCATCTTGAGTTTGAAGAGACGTCTTGAAAGTATTAAGAATAATGTGCAGAATATTGATCTATATTAGACCATCTTGAATATATAGAATTTCTCTAGCTGGCTTCAACTAGTTTGGGATTGACGTGTAGTTGATTGATTGCTTGTTTAGAATATTCTTTATGATTATGACACAATTAAGAATCCATGAATTAGGATTGTTCCTCATTTCACATAAACTTTTATAAGTTGAATAACTAATCAAATTCGACCCGAACTTTACTGTTTTTTTTCTCTTTTCACAAAATCTATGGTCTTCAGGCTGTTTAGTAGTCACTTGGAGTATAAATCTCGATTTCTATTTCAGTTAGTTCTTGTAATCTGCAATTAGCTTAATTAAATTATGTACCATTCTTCCAATTATGCAGGAGGGGAGTAGCCTTCAGACTCACCCAAAAGAACCCTCACCAATTCTTGCTATTTCTGCAACTTTATTGCTCTCTGTTCTTGTTTATATTTATCCCACAATAGGACGATTTAAAATAGGTGTAGCTACACTCTCTAGTCCTTTTGCTCTGGAGTCTTGGTCCTTTGTCGACATGCAATATCAACTCTTTTTTTCTTTAAGGTATTCACTAAGTTGATTGACCTTCTATCGACAAACTCATATTCCAGCTATCAAGCTAAATTCGATTCTCTTCGACAAGCTTCTTTACCGCCATCAGCTTTATAAGGTGGAGCTTTCCTATCTAGCACCAGAACTGGGTGTCAATATGGTGAGACGAAATTCATTCGTCTGTGGTGTGAAACTGTTCTCTTATTTCTCTCCATTACTCATGTGGCAGTGTACTCCAATTTATTTGAGACTGATACGTAGTTGTTGTACTCATGCGGCAATGAGGTGGAACCTCTTACCTGTTACCTACATCTAGTTGTCGATCTATCGCGATTTGCGTGTGTAAGAGAGTACGTCCGAACAAGCTCACATTGTGAGGATTTATTATAATTTGGCTATTTTTATGCTTGTCATCAACCTATTTCATCTCTCTATCCTAACGTGGGGATGATTATGCTTTTAGAATATAGGTGACTGTGAATGTTAAAGAACGTTGAGGAATGTCGATTGCCATATTTTTACTTTTTTGGCTTCTTGTTCATCTCTGTTTTCAATAACTTGCAAATTGAGAATGCTGATGGTGTATTGGTCTTTGCATAGGGTTTGGTAACACATCCCGTCTTTCTTTGGATGATCAGCCTTGAGCTGTAGTGATGGGTTGCTCATGAGATGCATGGAATGTGTTTCCTCAATCAAGAAATGCAATCTGGAAACTGGAATAAGCTTGACTGGCTGTCTATATGCTGTAAATCACGTGTGTTTTGCATTAATTTTCAGAGGTGGATCTTGGTTTGTGTATTTCCATATGTGCTGTTTGCAACTATGCAGATTTACATAATTTGTGAGTGCAAGAACTACTTAATTATCATCATGATGAAGATGTGAAGATTTTCAAAGATGATTATCATCGCTTGTTAATGTCATGAAAATGGCTTTCCCTTTATTGTAATTACACTGAAATGTATCAACAGTTCCCTTATTATTTATTCATTGGATTCTTGAAAGTGTGCATCTGGTCTGGTGATCCAGAATATATCTTTAATTAAAGATGAGTAGATGAAGCCAGAAGAAACTGACATGTTATTCGTCCAATCTGAGTCTGCGTGGTCCTTTTGGGGCAGAGGACCAACATACTATTGGCAGTTTATATTAAATAAATTCTGTACAATGTTTGAAATGAATAGAAGGGCTCGTGAAATCATTGAGAAAAGAAAGGTTTGAATCTGTCTGTCTTTGAGTATTTGGAAGTCACCATCAATGTCAATTCCCCAAAAGAAGATACTTTTTTTTATGCTTTTCTCCCATTTCGATTGGGAAGTACTTTGTTACTTTGTGTTTGTTGAGTTTTCACACTAGTCATGAGCGCATGACCTAGTTTATACATATACTACTACCTTTACTAATGTAGTAGCTGAGATGATAGATAATGTGAAAAGAAATTCACAGGAATTTTGCTGGAAAAAGTTATTCCCTGGTATCAAAAAGAAAGGTGGAAATCCGAGTACCGGGTTGATACATATGGTTCTTAATCTTTTTGAATCATTTTTTTGCATATAAAAATTAGATAAAGAATACTATATTTATAATTGAAAAAGTTAAAGCTATGATAAAAACAATCAGGTCACATATTATAATAGTTATAGGTAATTTCTTGATAAACATTAATTGGTAATTTGGTAAAAATGTGATCTAACATATTATGACATGTGGGTGAGAATCATGGGATCTAAAGTTCAAATCTCAGCAGAGACGAAACATTAGGTAATTTTTTTCCCATTAATCCAAGCCTTGATGGACAGACCACCCGGTTAATCCTGTTAATTAAGTGCTAAGGTCGTACTTTTAGGATGGGAGTCAGTCCGAGGGGAGTTCAATTAATTTATGTTGGATCTTAAAGGCCATGCTTAGCTTTACGTTGGATGCATGTGTACATGTTTAAGCTTAACTAATAATACTAACAAGAGTATCAGTTTCTTAATTAGTACTAATATATAATTACAGCTCCAAGAGATCTAATGAGCTAGAAAAAGATGCATTATTACATGTGATTTGACTGATTGCCTTGTACTGGTTTTCTAATATTGTTAATGACATGATTAACTAATTAAGGGAGAAACAGAGATCTCTTTCAAAAACATATAAATCTGCATTGCAAATTGTATCTGCAGCATGCAACCCCGTGACCGACCGCATCTCGTGCCTCTTTCTTTCTTTTTTTTTCGCTTATGGACAAAAAACACTAGTTGTGGTCCAACTAAGATTCACGAGCCTCTTCTTTTCACACCCTAAATATCATTTCCTCTCTTAGATTTTTCTTTTGAGTGGACGAAGTCAGTATTTAAAATTTATGAGTTCAAAATACTACTTCTTTTAAGTTATTGAGTTTTAAATTAATAATATGTGCATAATTAATGAATTTCTTAAGACAAATAATGCTGGCTCCGCCCCTGGTGTCCGGTATCTAAATTTCATGGAGCTGATTAATCTTGATTCATTTTGGGTGACCTTCGCTAAGGGAGGATAAGCGCTCCCTATAAAAAAAATTCTATTCTAAGGGTTCGAACTCGGGACCTCCTGTCAACGATACACACCCTAAACTTCTCAAAAGCTAGCTATAACTAGATTGTACTGTTTCATGACATTTCATGTGGTCCAACGTTCTCCACTTTGGTCAAATACATGAATCAATAATCATAGATATATTTGAACTGGACCTATAAAAAAGAGGTACTTAACTTGAACTGGTGGCTAAGCAGAAAAAGATTAATACATACACACTGAGATGAGAAGTTCTTTAGTTTCTACTTTGATAGGTTAATAATCACTGTTTTCTCAAACTTACCAAACTTTTTTGCTTAAGAAAGGTCTTTCAAAGTGGAACAAAAATCAGTTCCTTAATTTTGTTCTATTCGAAGTAAGTAGAAAGTGTCAAGAGTGGTAAATTAGATAAAATGTGTATGGACAATGATTTTATTATATTTTATTGACATGTTGAAATAAAATGACAAACTGGAGTGGCTAATAACGACATAAATCGGAAGCATTGGAGCAGACATTTATTAGGATCCAAACTCTCTTCTGAATTTTTTCTGATCAATCTGTCTTCCCCATAAGAAAACTATTCTTCCTTTTGTCTTCTTTTATTATTTTATGGAGCTAAGTATGACTTATTGTCACTCCATTTTGGGTCTTAGCTAAGCTTCTGTACAAATATCAATTGTACGTAGCAAAAACTCACGTGAAATGCTGGATATCGACCAATAATTTCACACCCTTTTCCATGCTGAGGTGGATCCAACATTTATATTTAATGGATTCAATGTTGCATTGAATTAATTGTACTGCTAAAATTATGATTTCAGATCTAATATATAGACTTCGTGTCAAAAGTTCTGGGTGCAGATGAACCCGCAACCAAAAGATCACATCCGTCTATGTTTCCATGCCATACCATCATAGATGGATCTAGAGCGAGTTCTGTCGGTTCAACTACATTAGTTGCTTTTGACTTCAATTATGTGTACATATTACAAAAACAACGACAACAAAACCACTGTAATCCCACAAGTGGATTCTGGGGAGGGCAGTGTGTACGCAGATCTTAACCCTACTTTGTAAAGGTAGATGTTATTTCTTATAGATTCTCGGCTCAAGGACAGAAGGTAGGGCTAAGGTCTGGATACACCTCTGGTTACCGCACCAATTCACATGAGAGCTGCTGCATGAAGTGAGCTGAGAAAGGGTTGGGGTGTCTTCTATATATAGTTATTTCTTTCTTGTTTGACATATCCTCTCATCAAAATTCTTATCTTTTCCAGGGTTGTGGCTGAGTGAAGGCCTTGTTAAGATAAGAAAAAACCATGGCTTTAGCCATTGCTACATTCCTCTTCATTACTCTTCTTTCAACAAAAGCTTCAGCCTTTGATTCATGTGCATCTACTAATGAAGATCTTTCAGTCATTCCCATTTATGGCAAATGCTCACCTTTCAACACACCAAAACCTTCTTCTTGGGAAAATACTGTCATCAACATGGCCTCAAAAGATCCACAAAGGCTTTCTTATTTATCCAGTTTAGTGGCCCAAAAGCCCAATTCAGCCCCTATTGCTTCGGGCCAACAAGTATTCAACATTGGCAACTATGTGGTTCGGGCCAAGATTGGTACCCCGGGCCAACTCATGTTTATGGTCTTGGATACCAGTAGCGATACTGCATGGGTGCCATGCAGTGGCTGCACTGGGTGCACCTCTACCATGTTTGCCCCGAACACGTCGTCGACTTATGGGTCCACCGAATGTTCAGCACCCCAATGTACACAAGTCCGGGGACAATCTTGCCCCGCTGGTGCACCAGGTGCTTGCTTTTTTAACCAATCTTACGGCGGAGCCTCATCATTCTATGCTACGTTGTCTCGTGATGTTCTTAGACTAGGCACTGATGTTATACCGAATTATTCTTTCGGGTGCATCAGTGCCATATCCGGGAGCTCAATTCCGCCTCAAGGGTTATTGGGCTTGGGCCGGGGCTCCATGTCACTACTCTCACAATCAGCATCACTCTATTCGGGTGTATTCTCATATTGTTTACCAAGTTTCAAATCCTATTATTTCTCTGGATCACTCAAACTTGGTCCCTTGGGCCAACCCAAGAACATTAAATTTACCCCACTTCTTAAGAACCCACACCGACCGTCTTTGTACTATGTGAACTTGACCGGTATAAGCGTGGGAAGAGTCCTAGTTCCAATAGCTCCCGAGCTCTTAGCTTTCGACACGAATACTGGTGCGGGTACCATAATTGACTCGGGTACGGTCATTACCCGTTTTGTTCAGCCAGCTTATAATGCAACACGGGATGAGTTCAGGAAACAAGTGAAAGGACCTTTTAGCTCCTTGGGTGCATTTGACACATGCTTTGCATCCACAAATGAAGCAGTGGCACCAGCCATTACATTGCACTTCACAGGAATGGATTTAGTGCTGCCAATGGAGAACACTTTGATACACAGCAGTGCAAGTCCAGTGGCATGTTTGGCAATGGCAGCAGCACCAACCAATGTGAACTCTGTGTTGAATGTTATAGCAAATTTGCAGCAGCAGAACCTCAGGATTTTGTTTGATACTGCTAATTCTCGTTTGGGAGTTGCTCGTGAACTTTGTAACTAGATTTGAACCCCCCTTATTTCCCTCAACGAAAAGGAAAGAAATCCTTTGTTTGTCAGGTCCATTCTCTTTATGTGCCTTCCCTATTCAGAAGAGATACTGTATCTGGTGTAATTCAACCTGTTTTTTCTTTAAATGTTAAAGCAATTCATGAGATGACAATTACTGCTTACACTTCGTAGTTTTCTTCTTTTACTTTATGCTTGTTCTTGTTCAATTTTAATAAATTATGCAGAGGACCAAGTCAGTCGACTTGGACATAACATACACAACAAATATTTTCCTGGATTTGAACGCATTACCTATAATCCAACCACAACAAGTAGTTTCTACCCTAACTCTCTTCCCCGCCTTCACAATAACTGAAAACTCCAACACATACCAAACACATGAATCACAACAGAAAAGAAGAAAGGAACAAAGACTACTCTATTCACTTTCAGGTTTTAAGAAGCTATGTAGCTCACCAGTTCTAATCGCCAAGAATGAAGAGCGTGTACAGAGGAGAGGGAAATAGTAATGAATGAAGTGCGGAAGCACAGAAGAGGAGCAAGAAATAAGACTATACTTCTCTTTCTTTTTCCCGTGTAGCACAACAGATGCAAATTAGTTGACATTTCAATGAGCGGATCAATAAACTTTCGAAAATAAAAAATAAAAAAATTTCATGGCGGAAAAATTGGTGCTACACTAAAACTTCGACTCATCCTCTACAAATTTTAACAAAAAACTCAAAATTGATGTCTTAAGATCTTCGTTTGTCACAGCAGTTTTTGTTTCGAAAACACCCTTCATGATACGAGTGTATAATCTTTCCAGCTGAGGAATACCATAGTCCTTTGACCGC